CTTCATCAATGCCTGGCATCGGTGAGTGTTGATGTCTTGTGTTATAAGGCTCTCTGTTTAAATGACAACCAGCACACTTCAGTATAACACTATAACATAAAAACCAAAAGTTTACAGGCTAAGATTTCCTTCATCTCAAGTCTGAATGATTTATAAAGGTTTTAAAAGAACCAACAACACATAATGGTCGCATAAGAAGCCAGATTGGTTCTGTTGGTTTTCATCATGAGCTTTGTTTTCTCTTTCGGCTCCAATGGCAGTTCACTACCCACAGCCCACGGTCATGTCGTCCACTGTAACTCAGACGGTCCAGTCTACTGCACCTGCCCTGGGTGAGCAGAAAAGCACTAGTATAATGAGACTCTGCCTCAGTCTGTGTTCAAACTCTAGAAGGTTTCAGCATACACATGATGCATCTGTACAGAATAGTACATTAGAGTTTTATGATCATATTAGATGTGTCTCTTCATTTAGCCACAGTGGTAGTTATGCCACCACGACTGACTGACGTCCCGGGGCAGATGAAATGTCCTCACTGCCAGCAGCAGGTCGTCACAGAGACCACATATGTCAGTGGCCTGATGGTGTGGGCCATCTGTGGAGGTCTTGGCATTTTAGGGTAAGAACGGTATTCACCAGATTCACACATACAGACTTTTAACTATCTGGTCCACTTTGCAGGAACTGCCCACTTAGAGAAGGGACCGGCTGACCGACCATTATTTTATTTTTATGTGCCACTTACAACTAACCTGTACAGAAGTGCAGGTTATTTCACATGCACGCCTCAAAGCGAAGAGTTATTTTTGTGAATATGTAGTTGCTGAGTGAATTGAATGAATGAACCACTAACCAAATAAAGAATATGAAACTAATATAAGTATGTGAAAAGCATATGAAACGGATCCTGTTTTCTGTCCAGGATCTGGCCGTGTTGTTTGATTCCGTTCTGTGTGGATTCCTGCAAGGACGTAGAGCATCGTTGCCCATGCTGCAAAACCCTTGTGTATGTGCACAGACGCATGTAGCTCCCGAAGCAAAGATGGAAGACCAAAAGAAAACTACCACCAACGTCTTCTGGGGTCTCATTTATAAAAGACTTTTATTGCTTGCGCAATTTTCCACGCACATATCGGGATTTATACAAAATCTAACTGGTCGTAAACATTCTAGACCATGCGTACGCACTGTTTGGTAATTTTAATATTTACACTGCAATACATATAGGCTAAAAATAGCTAAAAGATGTTCACCTTATCAGCAAAACCTCATAAATTAAATTTGATTTGAATTGTTTAAAACAATTGAAATACTATTCGGCCAGTGGAAAAGAATGAGATCAACTCTATTCTAAAATATTTATCTGAGAACTATTTTAAACCGTTTTGTTTTTATGGATTTTGATATATTTATGCTAAAACATAACAAGGATACTGGATGATTTTTAGCAATAAAAATTGTGTATGGCGCAAATGGCATTTATAGTTCGTATAATCATATTTCTTTAATGTCTTGTACCTTTAATGGTGTTAAACAGGGATTTTTGCGCAGGTTCTGGCGTACGCATGGTTTTATAAATCTGAAAACTTTTGTGCGTACACAAAATCTAGCTTTTGTGCCTACGTACACTTTTAGGATGAAATATATGGAGAGTTTTATAAATGAGACCCCTGGACATTATTGGGCTTCCTAATTCAAATAAAAATAACACCATGACATGAAAAGACTCATACGGGTTTCTTTTTCTCTTTCCTTACAGATAGATAGATAGATAGATAGGGTATATGATTTATGTCTTTTTATGGTCAAATTTATAATGAACTCAAGATGTACTGAATAATCGAGCGGAAAATACATTTTACTTCTTGATGCCATTTTTGCACAGCAATGTTTATTTCAATGTTTGTTTATTTGATTAAATTGTTCTTAATCTAAAGGTCTACAAAGCCTCATTCCCCCCCCCAAAAAAAAAAAAAAGATTTGTTGTATTAGATTGTTTTTCTGATAATATAGCATGATATTTCAAATCTAATTTACACAGAGACAACACAAAGGATTCATATTATTTGTGTCCTTTTCAATTGACTACAACTATTCATACTAAAGACAATTAACATTCATGCCTTTGTATGTTACTGTACACCAGGTGTCTCCTTGAGAGCTACCGTCCTGCAGATCTCAGCTCCAACCCCAGTCAAACACACCTGAAGCAGCTAATCAAGGTGTTCAGGGTTACCTGATAATCACAGGCAGGTGTGTTGGAGCAGGGTTGGAACTGAAATCTGCAGGACAGTAGCTCTTCAGGAGCAGGGCTGGAGATCCCTGCTGTACAAGGCATTCTGACAAGTTGTGACGTCAAGGAAAATAAAATACTTTGATTGTGAAAAAACTAGCTAAACCACTCTGACACAAGGAAGACCACGCCATCACTGATGCAGCTTAGGTCTCATTTAAATAGTACAGAGAGGTTTTTTGTGTGTGTGCGTGTGTAGCTTTTGTAGCCTCTGCATTCCCTGCTGGTATTTTACAACAGCTTCAAAAGAAGTTCACTGAATAAGAGTTTAGAGCTGGAACAATACATTGAATTCAATAAAATAATATTCAGTCAATCTTCAGACGGAACACTGAAATACATTTTTCAATAAATATTAATAGCTTAAAAAAAAATCCTGCTAACAAAAAATGTTGGTGGGAACGCATCGTGCTTACAGATAATCACATCCTGGCCTCAAAAAGTTAAGACAAACGCAACATTGGCAAAGAACAATCTAAAGAGAGGAATGCAACTCTCAGGTGAACTCACTAGTTGAGATCTTCTAACCCCAAAACAAACATCAGGTGCTAGGGCACTCTCTAGTGTCTAACAAATGAAACAGCAACAAAAGAAACCTCCATACAAAACCTCAATTGAAGTCCATCATTAGCTTGCTCACAGCCTTGCAATGCACTTGAGAAGAAAAGAGGATTGTGGAGAAATGAACCAAATTGACCCTTTAGATTCATAACATTATCATTATTTATCACAAACAACTGGTAAGTTCGTGCATGAGTGCAGTAGAGCGCTTTGATATGACAGTACTGTGTCAGAGCCTAGGCTTCGTCCTCTTCCTGTGATTCTACTTCAGTCCATTTTCCACTGTGCAGCAGAATGACGACACTAAATCTTGACTTGACCTGACATGAGAGTTTCATTTAAAATACTGAGAGAGAATTAAATGAATGAAAATGTTTTTAATTCTCTGATTTGAATATATATATATATATTATTATTTAATATTTAGCAAAATTGGTATATATACATACATTTATTATAAATATTATACTTTTTTTTTTCATCTGATTAGAGGCTCTGTCTTCTGTGTCCTAATAACCTGTTAGTATAAGGACAGCAGTGAGGATAATCTGTCTATAAAGTTAAGTCAGTACAGGCTTTACCAGCTCAGCATATTTACTGCTGCATTCATGCCTGTGTGAGGTGTTACACACTGAACATGTTGGCAGTGATTTATAGACTACTCCTTTCAGATAAATCAGTATGTACTTGCTCAGATAGATGTCTAAAATGTTCTAATATCTTGTAAAAAGGTTCAATTATTTGTCTTGGTTATGCGAACGTTAAGGGAACGTTCCATTTTTATAATTTTTCAAACGTTATGGGAACGTTACTTTTGAATGTTCTCTGAACGTTCTGAAACAATAAGTAACATTTAAAAAACATTAAATGAGCATCCAACTAAAATGTTTTTAAAAACATGAACAATGTATAAATAATGTTTTTGTGCTAACATTTTGAGAACATTATTAAAGACCAGATAACATCGAATGAATGTTCTATTAACGTTACTTGAAGAATGTTTGTTCATAAGTTTGAGAGAACCTTGCCAGAATGTTAGCCAAAGTTCTGAGAACGATCCCTGTTAGCTGGTAATGCATTTTACTAAATACATCAGAATGGTCTTATGGTCGCCTTACCTATTGAGCTCTCAAAGTTCTGCTGAACGAGTGCAGATTAGCAAGTCATCTGAATGCAGTTTAACCTAATCGTCAACCAGCACTAATCTGGAGTCCTACGTTATGGTGTTCTGATGCATGCGTGTGTGTGTGTGTGTGTGTGTGTGTGTGTGTGGTTCAGGTATACCCTACATTATGGGGACAAAATGTCCCCATACTCTAAAAAATGCTGGGTTGTTTCAACCCAACTTTGGGTTAAATATGTACTAACACAGCTGTTGGGCTAAATTTTTTAATTTCATTTTTAACCCAAAAGTTAGGTTAGTCCATGTTTGAAACAACCCAGCATTTTTTAGAGTGCACAAAAATGGCAATATCCAAAATCCTTGTCATTGCAGGGACATTGTTTTTGTTTTTTTATCCCTATGAGGAAACAAGCTTATAAATCACATAGAATGATTTATATATATATATATATATATATATATATACCCTATATATATATATATATATAAAATTGTAGAAAGT